ACCAGCTAAACCACAAGAATTTCGCGAACGGGACAGATAACTGTGTTTTAACAGGGTTCAGTTGTTATAGAAAACTCGTCCTGGTAACCGAGACCTGTTTTAGTCAACAGGAGACACTGATTGAGCAACTGAATTGCAGGAAGTAGAGAAGTTAGGGAAACAGAATAATGGCGCTACCGTACCGGTAGCCTTTACCTCGCTAAAAGACAAGCTACTGAAGTTCACATATACAGTGTACTCGTACCAACATTAATTGTTCCAACCAATACGAGAGCCACGATGAACCGAATAGCACCAAACCAAGAAGACGAGTTTAACAAGCTAGACCAAACAATTTTGCATGCTATAAAGGAGCGTGACACTGAACTTAAATTATAACAAATTAAGAAGACCAGAAGATTACTAATATGCATTTTTGTATTTACAGATCATCGGACGTCCTTCCATCGCCCGGGGCCTATACCACTGCCTGTGTGGTGAGCTGGTGCAAATTGCACTCAAGCGAGCCGTTCCCGCATCAGCCACGTGAGGTGAGCTTGCGCAGTTGCGCTACAGCGAACCTCATGTTATCCCTCCGGCGGGCTCCGTCAGTTCGTCTCCCGTCATCCGGCGAGTCTGCGCAATTGCGCTAAGACAAGCCTTGTCCCGTCATCCTCAAGGTGAGCTTGCACAAATTGTGCTAGATATGGCACACTTCGAACACAACATTTTTTTATGACCACAATTTCAGGTCGTAGTCCAGTAGCCACCGTAGTAATCACGCTAGTTAATTTGTTTTTTGGCCTATTTCGAATTTCACATACTTTATTTTGTAAATGCCGGGTTGGAAAATTTTCCTTTAAACGATGGGATGGAGACAGTAAATGATGGAATAGAGAATTGTCCTTTAACGCGTTTCGGTGCTACTCTGCATTTAACGCGATACGCCGGTCTTTCAGTCGACCGCAAGAAACAGACACTTAATAAAATTTCCTCTACGGTATAATTTACATACGTTACTCTGGATAAAATGGTACAGCGACAGTCCAGGTGCTGGTTGTTAATTGATGTTGCTGTATTTGCCAGCTGTTAAAGAGCGATGGGCGAAAGAGGAACTACAACGTGGACACTGCATATATACTGCATGACATCCGGCAGTTCCTTTACAAAGCTTACCGTTAGCTCCTTGGATAACCAGAAGCCATTTGACGAATACCCAACAGCCGCCACATTTAAGTATCAGATGAACCAACAAAAATCGAAAAGTTAATGACACGAACGTGAGGCCGAACGCGGCACGATGAAGTACTTCCGGCGATACCGATCACAGGTGCACACGCTGAAACTGTGATCTTTGTTTAATTTAAATGGTGACCATTCCTTTTCAAAATCTTTTCACTTCATGCGCTACAGAGCAATTATTGAGCGCACTACCTTGTATACCTAATCACTCCGTTGACACCCAGTCGTTTTTTTCGCCTTTCACGTTCCCCGTAAGCGGATGTGGGAGAAGAGAAAACTTTGCGATTATTCCCGCATCATAATTTTGCCAATTAAGTTAAAACAGATTAAATAATAATATCGTATGTATACTTAAATTCCTGGATCCTACACTGTATGTCTTCAAATTGATTGCGGAGACAATAGATATGGCATTTAATCATGCCCTATTTACTGAAAATGCAAGCTATTTACAGAAATATTACATAATTTACAGATTTTTTTATTTTACGAAGTATTCACAGAACTCGGTTCAAAATAACTGGAGACAAACAGCTCAGTCGAAAATTAAGCTTATAATAAGTATAAATAAATATGTTTCCCAACTGCCGGTAAACTCGACGAATGTAAAGGCACTGCCGGAAAAGGTTGTGCACGGAATGAAAGGTAGTGCGAAAGGTTGTGAACCGAATGAAAGATTGTGAAAAGTTGTGAATGGATTGGTCACCATTTAACAACCATTCAACCATGCAGGACACTATACTTGCTTACTTAATTGAGTTAATTCACATAACTAGCGTTATACATGTTACTGTTAAGAACTTTGTAGTAGAAGAAGCACGATTTTAGTACTTATCGTCATGCCAAGACGAAAACGCGCATTATAATGAACGTACCCGACACATCCGAAGATTCCAGTTCCGGCGGTTGGGAATCCAACGAAATCGTGAGGCTGTGAGCTAAGTTTAACCGTATGTAGTTCTTGGAAAGACGCAATTATATGGTGGCTATGAGTCTTTGACCATACGAAAATTGTTATCCTTTCATACTCCGACAGATTCCTTTGATTTCTAGCGTAATTAGCAATATTAAGCACATCAGTGATCAAACGTTGAAACAGCAGAACGATTGTACGAGTTGCAATATTGTACTTGCAATATTGTATTGTACCAGCTCACTTTTCACCTGCACGTATGCCGAACCGCAGTCCCGACATCCGCAACCGGCACGTTCGCAGCCTGGCAACCTCGACAGCAGTCTCACGACGATTCGAACCTTCAAAGCTGCAAACCCACCTATGCAACTGCAAATAACTACGTAGGGTATGAATTGTATTGTACTAATGCAAACTCAGAATCTGATTATTTTCATAATAAATTCTTACGATTATTACCGTGCAGTGCAGTGCAGTAGTTAAATAGTGCAGTGCAGTTGTTAAATACTACTTAGTACTACATTTTCTACCCGATTAATTCCATGCATTACATTTTGTACTAGGGGCTTGCACAAATTTACTGTATCGTACCGGAGAGTGGCCCGGTTATACATGAAAACAACAAAATAATATTTGTATATAGTATTATTAGTATACACTATCCACAATATTACTGAATTCTTAAGCAAAAATAGTTACTCTGCGGACGTACACAGTACAGTAACATTGTACGAGTACTTACTACTGCTACTTGTATACGACTACGAGTATCTGTTTAACGCGAGGTTCCCAGTGGTTCGGTCCCTTTGCGGTAATTCATATAACACGGTCATAGCAAGACTTTATATCAAACGCACTTGACGATATATCAAGAAAATGATTTTACTACATAATAGCGTTAGCAAAAAGTTTATTTTGCTCACAGTAAGCTAATTATGAAGTTTTAAAGTCAAAAATTTCAGAGTGAAATTTACTGAGTACTGTTCATCCAAAAAAGTTTTGCAAACGCTATTCGGTGCGGAAACAGCGTGAAAGCTTATCACACATTGGAAATTTCAATATCATTGCTATTAAAAATTTAAAGTGCAAAAAACCGATCCAGGGGTGGTGGGGCGGTGCCGCCCCTGAACATTTTCTGCTATAACTCTTAAAGCTTACATGATATCAAAAAACGGTATGTGTAACAAGCTCAGCTGGTAGTGTTCGATTTAATGACACTTTTTGAGTAATTTTTTGATAACGCGTTAATTTGTTGTGAAATTAAGTTTGATTTCTCACGAAACGCGTTTAAAGTCTACCGTGTTTTGTTGCGCTATGTTCAGTACAGAAAATCTACAGCTGGAACGCTGATTGAAGCAAACGAAAGGACAGAAGGGCTGGAGACTTCAGACGCGCACGCCGCATGCAAAGACAATAGCCGTCAGTCAACTAAGTTATCACACCATCCTCTCACTAATTGCTTCGGCTCAGCATTCTTTTGAAACGGCTGATTACTTCACCTGCGCTAACAATAGCTTTGCATCAGAATCCCATCCATCGCTCTTGACCATAAAAGACTGAATTCATAACCCGGATAGCCTAAAAGCAGCGCTAGCCGCTTTTTCTCCGTTGAACAGCGCTTCCCCCTTCGGCACTCATAACGGAAAATCGTTTTTTTAACGTAAACAATTTTTTTATATACATGGTAGCGCCATATTCTGATAGAGGAGACTTTATTCCTCACAATGAGCTATAAACCCCAAAATGAATTTCCACTGGGAACCTCGCGTTAAGTGCGTTTTGTTCAGAAATACTTAATTGTTAATTTCATTGTTGATTCAATCAACTTGATTGTAACAAATTCATTATTAAAACCAAAGCCGAAGAAAATCAGGCATTTATAATGAAAACGTACTAAAAACGATTATTTAATGTTATTCTGACATGCAGGACGTAAAGGCCAAGTACTTAGCGTTTAACTTATACAGTACGAGCACTCGCCAGTCCCAAAGGGCCTTATTTAAGTGGCGGAAGTACGTCACAACTTGGGGGATAATCTACCGGTGTTACTTATATAAATATCAGTTATATGTACAGTTAAATCTTTTCCTCCCATTGATCATTACAGTAATTTTTACTTTCAACACATGATAAAATTGAATGTAACGTATAAAGACATCCTTTAGATTGCATATAAATATGACTCTGATCAGTACAAAATTTAAATTTCGTTTCTGCAGGCGGAAGCTGCAATTACGTAATTTTCTCAGTTAAGGCCACAGTATACGCGTACTTCATGAAATCTAATTCATTTAATGGTGAAATGGTACGTACAGGTCCACTGTGTGACTGCGTCTCATACTGTTTGTTTGATCTACACCCGATATCAATTTTAATAATGAATAATAAAAAAAACAAACAAGTTATTTTGATGTAAAAATGGTGTACACCAGGAAATTGCCAAGGAGTTTTTCGCAAGCGCTCCACTTAACCATAGCCATACACTTAACCATACGCTAAGGTTATGTGCGAGCGTATGGTAAGTGCGGATACCATACAAACTCGTTGTATGGTAGCCAACTTCCAGCGGCTCCCCTTAGATCCTGTACATCCTGATTTCACTGAATACACTTTTTTCGAACACAGAAAACATTTTTAAATGTAAATCTTGATGCTACAAATGGTACCAGTTGTCGAAGCGCAAGAGGAAAAAATAAAATGAAAGGCGGTGAAAACTCAGCTGCGCGCAGCAAATGCAGTTCTTCATGCGCTGCCACCTTGATGGCGGTCGACCACTACGCCAGCAACAAGTGTTTTTCTCAAGAGCGAAGCGCATTTAAAATTTTTAATTTTTCAAAGAATTTAATAATTCTTTAAAATTTCCGAAATGGCGGACGTCAATGATAATCCCCAGTCTCGAACAAAGAACCGAAGGAATCGCTTTACCGCGGAGCTAGATTTGTTGGTTGCGGAGGAGTCGAGCGCACAGAATCCATACGCAGCTCGGAACCCTAGAGAATGTTGGGAAAAGATCGCCGAAAATCTCACCGCTACTAAGGTGAATTTTGACTTGCTTTCATACCCGCTGGGATCCTGTACGAACGCTAATTTTATTTTTGTTTCCATGCAGAAATTTAAGATACCGTTGACTGATCGTGCCTGCCAGGTTCGAGTGGAAAAACTGATCGAGGCATTCGTGAAACAAGATCTTCGAAATCTTGTTCGAACTGGCACGGAGGAAATCTACGGACGTATTGAAGCAGCTTTGCTCTCGTTGTCGGAGAGTAAACGGGATGCCCATGCTTTGAACGACCAGAAAAAGCAGCAAAAGGCAGCGGAGGCTCAGAAGCGGAATGCAGAAACAGCCCTTATTCAGAACGCCGGGGAGTCGACCTTCACTAAAAAGAAGCGTGTGGATGATCTCGCGGACTATCGTCTTCCATCCTCCAGCGCGTCAGGAGCTACTGACGGATCTGACGATGACGAATGGGTGGATTCAGCTGCCGAAGAGGAAGCGGCTATGCAGAAGCCGGATTATGATCCTGTGGCATATGAACGTGAAAAGGCTGCCCGCAGACTACGACAGAAGCGTAGCCGACCAGCAGCAGTGAAATCGACCAAAGCGTCTGCCGAAATGGAGGCTGTCAAAGCTATTGCTGAGGGTGACAAAATGAAATGCAGCATCAAGGAAAAGGAGCTGAAACAGGCGCGAGAATTCGAGGAAAAAAAGATAGAGCAGGAAAGACAGCTGCGAGAGAAACAGATGGAACAAGAGAAAGAGCTAAGAAGTGCAGAAGACGAGCGAAAGTACACCGTTCGCATGCGTGAACTAGATTTACAAGAACGCGAGATCGCCTGTAGAGAGCGTGAAATTGCACTGAAGGAGAAAATGAGTGGCAATTAATTTGCTTTGATTTAATTCCAAAGTGTAATAAAATTGACATAAGAGCACACAACTTTATTCATCAAACGTAACCAAATACTCTTCCAGACTAGGTGGCTCCAAATCAAAGTACTGGCTAGCTTGATTATGGTTTAAACAGTTATGACAGTTGATAAGTATGACAGCCACACGATATAACTTGTTGATGGGATTAACGTACATCCGCATTTGCTTTTTAAAATCAAGAAATGCAAATTTTGAAACAACTTCTTTAAAGCCCCACTCGACAGGCTCTCTAACCCGAGACATAGCTTTATTTAATGCTTTTTTTCGACGGTCATTGAGTACTTCTACTTTAGAAAATGGTTTCTTTACAAGTTCTCCTCTTCCGTATCCCGAATTACCATAAAGACAGAATCTGTCTGGGCCAGCAAACGTAGTAAATTTTTGCTGCAGCGCGTCCAGGACTTTGCTCGAAGTAAGAAGGGTGCTGTCGTGCATGGAGCCTCGGTGTCCGCCATACAAACTCCCGATCATCCCGTTAGGCAGCAACACAGCTTGCCACTTCGAACAATGATGACGCTTGTGGCCACTAAAACACTGGCGCTGAAAAAATTTGGGACGGCTGATTGGTCGTGCAGTCCCATCGATGAACCCAAAACAACCGCGTAAAACACCACCTTTTGCGGCCACGGCGCCAGCAAATATAACAAAATCCTCTTCGGTAAGCCAGGTCTGATTCCACTCTTCCACAAGCCATCTAAACGTTCTGTCGATGTGGTTTAAAACCCACATAAAAATACGGCATAGACTGCCTTCTGACCGGCCGAAAAACATTCGGAGATCTATCCAACGTGAAGGATAAACAAATCGGCGCAACAAAATGCACAGTGCTTCCACACCTGAGGCTCGGTCTCGTTCAGCTGTTACCACAATGTCAGGGATAAGCAGACGCTTACGGAGTTCTTCAATCTGGGACATGGTGAAGCGAAAAAATCGCCAGCTTTCTCGTTCGGTGAAGACGCTGGGATCAAAAGCGAAGGGAATCCAGTCATCTCGCAGTTTTCGCTTTTTCAGTATACAGAGAAGTAAAAGAAACCTGCGTCTGGAAATCATTTTGCGTTTGTATAGAAGAAACAGATAAATAAATTTCATTTTCAGGGCATATTCAACGATGCATATGAAAAATATATGCGATTCAGTGATCCAAAAAAATATGATCCAGTAATAACAAGATCCAGCAATAACATACCGAAAATACGCCAAATGTGACAATCGTGTATGGTGACTATAGAGTAAAGTTAAGCGAGGCGATGCGAAACGGCGGTAAACATAATTTTACCATAGCGTTATTTTATTTGATAAGAGATGGTTAAGGTATGGGTAAGGTGTCTCAGCGAAAAACTTCTATTGTACATTTATGCAGCAGTCGGTAGCGCTCCCAAGCAGCGCAAACAACAAAAGTTACTTACAGTATTATTATACATTTTATTATACGATATCTATGTACTGACAAAGTACTGGTAGCACATAAAGTATATATATATTACGATTTACGAATAATGTCGAATACTATATAGATATGCTATATATATACTATATATATACTATATAGATAGTGACCGAGCTACCACCACCCATAATTCGTAATTCTCGTAATTTGTTGCTGTTTCATATGCGTACCAACAATAGTGCAGTAGACTGTACTTTTGTAGAGCGGCAGGGACTTAGCATAACGATAACGTTCCATAAATTCAAGCCTAACCTTTCCAATGCACACTTGCCCAGCGTGGATCCACGCTGGGCGCGAGCGCGAGCGAGGCTCATTCATACAATCTTACCATCCAAAACGTAATTAATTTTGTTTTCATGGATTCGTCAACGCGTGGTCAGTTTAAGTCAAGCTTGGTCTTAAAAAAATCCATATTTTCCTGCCCAACTTATCCGGAGTTTTGATTTTTTTTTAAAACTTTCTGGTCAAAAAAATGTAGGAGTTGGTGTTAAGTATGGGAAACGCAAGTGCAGTACCAAGTATACTTTAGTATTGTGAAGCACAATACAGCGTGGTAGCGCCAAGTTGAAGACAGCGCATATTTAATTCGCCCCCTCACTTCCCTGTACTTGTTAGTTCTGCTCAATTATTATGGATAAAACTATGGTTCACGGTTCACCTATTTGAAAAAAAATTTTTGCTGTCTTTTGTATAGATCTCATATTATTTATATTTCAATTTCATTTCCGGTGAGTTTTCGACTGACCAGCGTTTTCAGGATATTTTGGATTGAAACTTTTTAACGGTCTTCGTACTTTTCAGTGTTTGTTTTTTTTCTCATGTACTTTTGTCGCCTATTTCAAGAAAAAAATAAGGTGGTTGGCTTTCCTTATCTTCCACAGGAAAGAGGAATGTTTTAAAATATGCTGTTTTCAAAAACCGACCGGGATTTTTTAGGTCGCCGTGGTAAATTCCCTGTACACTTGTAAGGCATTACTCGGCTTCTCCCGGCTCATTTTCGCACAGACACAACTGTTAGGTGTTCTAGTTTTGTGTCTGCTTAGGGGGTAGTCGCTATTAGCTACACTTGTCCAACAAAATCTGGAACCTAGTGTGTCATCCAGGAATCTTCCCTTTGGGAGACCCTGCAGAATCGGAAACCAATCCGAATTTTGAACAATTTTGTTTTGTTCGTTTGCACAAATATCAGCCTTTACGGTGATATAAAGTACGAAAGAGACCCAGACGATCTGGATTTTTTTCGTAATTTTTTTGTTGATCCTCCCCTTTTATTTTACGAAGTGGTCACTGGTCAAATTCCAGTGACCACTTCCGAAAAAAATCCGAAAATTCCAAAAAGAGTTTATATACCAAAACAGAGTTTTTTTCCAGTTCTCCAAACATAGCGTTACTAGTTTTAGCAATAAGAGAGTTAAAAGTACCAAACTCTGAAATTTTAATAATTGGCAACCAACTGTCTTCAACTTGGCGCTACCACGCTGTATGTAAAAAGTACAAACGGTACAGTCGGCACTGTAACCATAGATATGGATCTTAACCCACCAACGCCGGGTACAAGAAGGAGTGGGAATACTGATTGGAAAATTGGTATTCCACGATCAAATAATTCAGTTAAGAAAAATAATTTTTTGTGGCATTTTTGTGACCATAGGTCGAGCAGAGCACCACGATGCCAAAAGGGCACGCATGGGAACTGAGCCAAAAGGCACAGCACAGTTTAATGTTAATAGCAATTTACAGAAAAATCGCATCAAAACTTGGTGTAACTTAAATAAAAGACCTCAAAAAGCGTTATGCAACTGAATGATACGAATGGTCAGCAAGATGACCAGTGGTCAGCACAAATAAAAAATGACCTAAACCACCTATCTGAGCTGGGATACCGTGAACACGACATAAAATGCCGAGCATACTGCCAAAAACCAATTTGACACCCAGGGATCTAGGAAAACAGCATCAGGCACATTATGCAAGCGGTAGAACAAGTTAAGTCGAAGGGAGCACGGACTACAACAAACTTTGTGGTGCTTCAGCCGGTCTGAATGTTACAGAAATGCTTGCAGTACAATGCGCTATTTTCGACTACGACTGCCATAAACTCGGTCGGAAGCTATCGCGAACGTGCAAGAACTGATTAACGTACCCTGCGACTGGCAACCAGGCTACAAACTGGGCAGCACTCAGTACTGTATAGGGACGTGTCCACTGCAAGTAGCAGTTTTGGCAGACTAGATTTACAATTAGGTTTTATTATTATTATTAACCCAGAACAACAATCTGCACACAATCCACTAATATCTGTACTGTGACAGCAAAACCGGTTGCAGAAATTGACAATAATCGTGAACTGACCGGTAGTCTTCGTATATGCGGTGTTGAACGCTTTTGAGTTTTCTGCTAGCGTTTACCTGTTTTGTACACTTCCTGTTCAAACTCTGCAAAGTATGCTCACTATGCAGTACAGATAAAACGCGTCATAATTCAATATCTGCGAGCAACGGACATCATTTAAGCGGTTTAAAAGTTCTGCCTGCCGGTCATGCTCGCGTCATATCCGATACGACATTAGAAACCATCTAAGAAAATTTTGATTTTATATCTTTACTGCACATTTTTGTATATCAAAGCACACACAAGTACGCTGTGCGCTGAAAAATCTAGAAAACAGCTTTTATAAGCAATGTTTCTGTCGAATACAGTATCATTATCAGTATTGATACACCAATACTACTTAATAGTAAGTAATGGGTGACCAGTGGTCACTTCGATGACCACTAAGTCATCATCGTTAAAACGAGCTGATTTAATGTGATTTTTTGATTGTTGGTGCCAATCTTTACCTTACTGCAGAAATTTTATGCAGAATTTTAAAATTTCGGCATACAATAGCATCAAACCCATGCGTGTCAAATCTGGCACAGATTTTTTTAAGGACCGTAGACGGACGGTGTTCACCCATGTATGTATGACTTGCTCATTTCCTGACGAGGTCCTACGCAAACTTGCCGTGTGTTTTTTTGCATAATTTTCTGATGCAAGTGTCTCTAGGCCGGGAGCTGAGACCTCAGCGAACCCTTTCAGCTCGGTTTTGGTGAACTTCAGGTGCCCAATGGTCTCTACCAGTACTGGATTGTTTGGTGTCTAACTTTTTAAAATGTTTCTCAACATCTCTGGTTTACAATAAAATCGTGCAGACGTCTAGTATTGCATGTTCTTCGGCTACAGAAAGTGAAGGTCGCCGCTGTGCCAATTGGCATGCATGGTGTCGACCGGGTTAAGTCCACTTTGGTCAGTACAGTAATTAGTAAAGAGTAAATTTTCAAGTAATTCAGCTTTTAAACTGCCGGACGACTGCCGGAACAGTCCATAAATTCAAACCTGACCTTTCCAGTACACACGTGCCGAGCGCGAATGCGCGAGGCTTACCTTGTATATATTACGATTTACGAACAATGTCGAATACTATATAGATATTATATCGAAAACTAATGTTTATATAGTATTAAGCATATTATATATGTAATATATTTGCATGCGCAGAAAGCAAGAAACACCATAATAATTTTATTTATGAGTACCTAATAGATTTTTGAAATATTCGATAATTATAGCAGCCAGATTCCCACGTTCGGTCGTCACGTTTCGTGTAAACGCGATCCTTGTGGGACATACAACACATACGTAGTACGTACTGTATGTACTCAAATGCATGCGGTATATCTAATTCACTCGATATATTTGTTTGATGTCAGTAATGGAGCCACGCCGCTCCAACAGCCGTTGAGGTAATACCGCTGTTCCCTTGTTACGCGGGACAGCCGGCACGTTATCTGGTTCGCACGTCAATGCTGATGTCAAGATCATCCCCCTCCTGCGTCCCGTAATGCCGCCGCTGCCGGAAGTGATAAATTTGATCGCCAATGCGGTAATTGCCATATGGCATATGCTCGATTAGCCCTGTATGCGGACGTGATCCCGCTCGCCTATTATCTTCTTCCACCACGAAAATCGCAGCGATCTTTTTTGCGGCGCATTTCCGATATTTTAGTTTGTGAAATTCAATAACAATCTTCCAGTTTACTTCGTACATGGTAACATGCATGATACAACACACTGCTTTTTCTGTATAAGGCCACCATCGCACATCAGCTTAATTTTGCAGTGCCCAATTCCGGTGCATATTCTAATGTGGCGGAGTAGGTGACAATCCCGGTAGTCTTATCCGCGTCAATTGCTGCGTGACGATCAGCACCAACAAAACTTTTCTGCGAAATGGGAAAGTGACGGAAAAAGTTGGCTTTATCAGAAATGCAGAGTTTATGAAGTACGAGTATACTTCGTACAGCTGTTCTTCTTTTTGGCGTTTCTCAAGTTTGTTTGATCTGGTTTACATTCATTTGCATGATTGCTTAATTTGCTTTTGCCCAGAATATTTAGAGAGTGTTTTGATTCAACTTGATTGCTTACTTCGCGTTACAGCGTGCTTTACCAGTTAGCTGCATATCCAGGCTTTTACCAAGTTTACTGCATTTTTACGGTTTCCGTTATCAGCCGTTGGTTGCCTGCGTGCCTGGAACAATTTTTGATCCTTGATGATTTTTGCCCGGTCGATCTTTGAATAATATGGTTGTTGTGTTTCTAAAACTTTGTTGAAAACCGTCGTTTTAATCAAAGGCAAAGTGCAACGAAATAATTGTCTTATCCAAGTGTGTGATATGCGCGGATCCCTGTTGTGTCTAATTCGATAGCATTGCGGTGTACAGGGAGTCTCTGCACCACTGTCGGATAGTGGCTCTAATCCGTTTTTTTACTCCACCTGCAGTTATTTTTCTTTTCCTTGGTGACTGTGGAATATGAGATGTATCTTGTATGGAGAACTGCATCATTAGCAGCATGGTGAACCTGACCAGTATACCAGGCAGTCGTCTGCGTGCGTGCGGCGATAGCAGCGCGGGACGACTGGAAGCGCTGGATGATATGGAGATCAGCATACCTGATGTCTCCGCTGCAGCGTCCCCGATTAGCTCCGCCAGCAGGCATCCGGATCTGATGTCCCCGCAGTCCTCTGTTGATAACTGCTTGCACTGGGGTTCCTCCAAGCAGCAGGTTACGGTAAGGAATTTGTTTATTGGGCTAAAGACGATTTTCCTACATTTATTCCGAGGCAGCGAAAAACCAAGAAGACTGGAATTTGCGAATATTTTGGGATTTTTTATTTTGTTTTCTTATTCAACGTTTCCTAATGAAATTTATGTTAAGATTTTTTATGTGCGTTTTCAGATCTGTAACCTGTTTTATTTCTGGTCTACAAATGTTTCGACAGTATAATTTTTACACTATATAATAAACAAGCAAATAAAGCTGAATTTTCTGATGGATATTAGTTTTTTTTTATTTAGAATAACCCGAATACATAACTTTAGTTTTTTCAGAATATGTAATTGCGTTGCCAGATTAGTAGATTACTGCCACAAATAGGATGCTGTCTGTAGAAAAATAAGTTATTTTTGTACTTTCACTTGCTCAGTTGCGCCACTTGCAGTCAATTTCAAAATTAATTTGAAATATCGAATTTAATTCGTGCATTTCTTGCGGTGCAGCCTCACTACGAATCGCAGCTCCTCTCCGCCCTGGGCGTCTACCCGGCCTCCTCGGCCAGCAGTCCCAACGTGCGCTTCTCCCTCGGGGGCGACGGGGCGGCCTCCCCCTACCCGACAGGGCTTCTCTCGGCGGACGGTCGCCGGAATCCGCTGCACCGCAGCCTGCCCAGTCTGGCCTCGGCCAACGGGCCCTTCAGGGAGCCCCAGTCCCCCACGGGGCCCACCCGCAACAGCTCCTGCTCGCTGCATCGCACCCAGCGCCACTTTGTCCTCCAGGATTCCCTGGACCGGCCCGATGACGACGGGATGGATGTGGAGGACGGGAAAACCAATCCGGGTAAGTCTGGCGTATCTGTACTACGAGCGAATAAGTGAGAATTTTGTGAGCGATTACAGTACTACTGTATCTCTGTGCGTAATTATTTTACATACGTCATTAAATCCTAATAATTAGTATTTTAGTTAATTCACTCTCCTGCATTCTGACTAAATAGTGTTGCGTAAGTGTGACTTTCAAGTAGTAGTCAGAATTAAAAACTGTAACAAGCGCATTTATGATTTGCCATGTATTATGTAAATGGCTTAGTTTTGATTTTGATTTCTCTCTTTTGTACGCTGATTTTTGAAGGTTTTTCCTAATAAATCAGTTTTATTCATTCTAATGTTTCTAAATATTTGATTATATTTTTAAATGGTTCGTTTTGATTGTAAATCTTCCCGTTTTATTTTGTGACTGTGAATTGGGCATTGTAAATTGAGCAATTACTACATAAAACCTTTTTTAATTTTTAGTACAAAGCATTGTGCAAAAAACAGTCGACATCAGATCGTAGTACAGTGTACTTGTGCATTGACTCACGAGATCAGCCACCAACGCAGGCAGTAGTATACAAGCAATAATCAGATATGCATAAGTATGCAAGCTTTTAGTTGATTTTCATAAGCGTTTTTTTTAATTTTTAAATCTTTTAGTACGTACGAAAATTTTGATTAAAAAACATGGAGCAAATGTTATCCCGTTGTTCCTATTACTGACGCACAGTCACAAATCTGAATTTCAGTGGGGCGTAAGAAAATACTCGTGCGGAAGGATTTCGGGGAATCCGATGAGGAAACGGAGACGGACGAGTCGACCCACTCCTCCACAGTGTATCCCTCCTGCCGGAAGCGGCCTCTCCGTCCCGGCAGCACGGTGAAACGCATGAAGACCATGGACTGTTCGGCGTTCCGTGGTGATGATGATTCCATATCCTCCGGTGATGAACTGGAGAAGTTCTTCAATTCCATGGGCTTGGATGATCAGCAGATGGGCGGACGGTGCGGCTCGCGCGCACTGAACATTTCCAATCAGGTAGAGTTGCGAATTGATTCGGATTCGAGATGTACGAGTACAGTAACTGCAGCGATAGTTCGTAACTATTGGCAGTATTCATTGTAATTCGTTATGCTTTTGATTTAGTAAAATTTGTTAACGGGATGACACTTCACTGGATTATTGTAAAGCGATAATAACGGAGTAATCAGCAATAACGGATCAGTGATAACGGATTAATCAGTAATTCGATTTATCAAATTTACAAAATAAAGTGAAAGTGGGAAGTGTAAGAAATAATTCAGAAAGGACATAGTTGTAAAACTAGAAAATAAATGCATGGAATTAACCGAAGCGCGAAATGTTCAAAACGCTAGGCACATAAAAGTGGCCTAAAATAAAGAGAGTGTAGTAGTCTATGACCCTGTGCATAGTCCGTGTATAAGATTGCGAAGGCGGGCCTAACAAAATAGAATAATATAAAGTAAGATAATAATAAAAAATTATAATAGTAAAATAAGAGATACGTAATGGAATAATAACAAAATAATAAAAATAATGATAATAAAAATAAATACGTAATAAAGTATAGATAATTGTTTTTCATGTACACTTTGTACAGGTACGTACTATCGTAGTCGTACTTTTGATTGTACGGGTATTTTGCAGATTAAATCGCATAAATTTTAGTGCTGTACAATTTATTTATGGTTGTAGTGTTCTTCGCTTTGGCAACATCCCGTTTACATAACATCAAAGATGCAACGGCATAAAACAGGATTATCGTGTCAGAATGCAAAATATCGTATTCTCATATGTACATTTTCAGCAGGTTTTTATTGATGATACTAAACAAACTGCACAATTTAAGCGTAGTAAAGTAGAGTTTACCAGTACCAATTCAGAATCAAAATACCATTCAAGGCAGTAACAGCAATTAAATTAATTATTTTATTAGTATACAGTATACACCTGTGCAGGCTCGTGTTTATTAGCAGCATTGACAAAATAATTAAGTATTTTGTCTACGTAATTCAATATAAAACATACAGCGCAGGTCTTAATACAGCGCACAACGCGTATAACTTCAAAGTAGATCCAATTCTGCAAAACAAATTAAACAAATTATACTAATAAAAAAATAATGAAAATTAATTGAGTAAACATTAGCTTTTGACTGTGCAGGTATCGGATGACGCGATGGAATCGGAGGAAGAGCAGTTCGAATCGGTGTCCATTGTCGGAGGGGGTGTGCTGCGCGGACGGAAGGACAGCATCGCCCTGATCCCCACGGTGGAGACGGATGACGATGAACCGGAGATGCCCAGCGACGAGGCCGGCTCCAAGGGGGACGGGGAGCGGGGCCCGCGCCCGCCTGCGCTATCCCTCAACGGCCGCAACGAGGAGAACTACAAACTGCGCAACGCCCGCGTCTACAAGTGGCTGGTCACTTGTCGGGCCGCTGGCAAAAAGTGAAACGCGGAGAGATCCATTTTATCCGCGACGGAGACTTTTGTAGAGTCGGCTATTACGCTGAGCATTTGTACTGATCTGGATTCCTGCTTGACTTGTGGTTTCTTTGTAAAGGAAGGAAGTCGTCAACTCGAGATGTATTTAAACATATATTTTATTACGAGTACTACAATATTTCTATTTGATAATGGCGCTTTTGAGAATATTTAGCAGCCTGTACGGAGAGATTTGATGATCTGATAAAGATGATAGTTCGACTTGTACTACTGTAGAAGCATCTAGTAGTTGAGCCTACATTGTGACAAGTTACAACGTTGTCCGGACAGAATTGTACCATTAGTGGTTTTTTGTTTTCTTAAATACATAGAAATCTTGTGTCGTTAACTTTTTCGATAAGTGAGCTTAATGTGACAAAATGTCCGAATATTATTATAGTGTTATTTATAGTCTTTTAACGACGCAACTGCAAGAAAACGATTCAACATTTTTTTTAAAATGTCAAATACTACGTACAGAATATCTATATGCTATGCTGAATTGGGCAAGGGAAAAATTCTGGAGAAAAAAAGATTTGTGGAAGTTGTAACTCATGATGGCCACTTTGAACGACCATCACTACTGTAATTCACGTACTATACTATTTGAATGACCTTACGAGTAGGTATTTAACTTTTTCGCTCCCTTCGTCTTCATAATATCGAGAACAAATGCCGCTCTGCAGGCTATGAAACCGGTTCTGAACAAAATCTCTCCTTAGGGACGAAATAGGGGAGATATGGGACCGTCTCGAGCGGGCCACCTATTCATTTCGATCAACCGTATTGTGTACGAATTAATGTACACTCGTACAATACATGTACTTCGCATGGGGCCTTAAGTTTTCCCCTCATACAGCACGGGAAATTTTGTTTTCCCCCGCACATGTGCCGCTTACACGCTTAAAGCTGACTGCAGTTTAAAGGCTTGTCTGTCTGATTCAAATATCAAAGCCATCCGGCGGACCAACGGTGCAAACTGCAAAGTCAAACATTTGGTTTCCTGGTTTAACGTTTGTAACTGCACACTGATAACCGATAAAACATGTGTATTTCTGTTTGCGTAACAATTTGCTTTGAACGATGGAAACGGATGTATGTCATTCTTTAGAACATGAGCATACTTTCATCATTGTGCAGTCGTTACCGACCAGATACTCGACTCACGTAAACCGGGCTGTTTGCTCTTGATTCTATGAACGAATCGTTGTGTCTTTTATAGCGTGCTGTTCACGGCTGACATTTTAACGGCTTAAAATGGGAACCACTTATTCATTCCTGGAAGCCGAGAAGAAGACATGGATCGAGCACACGTTGGTGTACGACGAGCCGGTTCGAGTAGCCAATCTCAAATATCTGGAAGACTTCAAAGACGGCAGTAATATTTTCCTCAGCTACATGCACAGTGGCTGGGGTAACAAAGAATTCGAGCACTGGTTCGTGACCAACGGGACGCAGTTTCTGGAGTTCGGGTCGGTGGATGTCAATATTTACAACGCCCGGGTGACTATCAACACGCATCCCCGCCAAAACTATCCCATCGACGTCAACGACGTCAAGAGCTGCCGTCCGATGAATGAGAATATGCGGCATCGGATGCGCCACGTGATCGGCCTGTCCAACTATTCCCTGTGCCTGCGCAACTGTGAACACGTCGCGAACTACGTCTTTCGGGGTCGCTGGATTAGTAGTCAGATGGACGACCACGGTGACGGGGTTTGATACAGTATTTCCGCTCCTACATGCTGGATAACCGGAAACGCCTGATCAACACATTCCCCGTTCCCATCCGCTCCCAATTAGCCATCACTGATACATGCGAAAGCCTGTATTCATTTATTGCGGATAACTACACATTCAGCCGGGTTGAGTACTATCTGGATTACGAAGACGATACGTACAATGTCCTGGTTGTCGGGCCGACGGGCGCCGGCAAATCGCATCTGATCAACGTGTTCTTTAACCAAAACATCTGCGAATCCGACGTGAGTCATCGTAGTGTTACGAAAGAAATTGTATTTGTGCGTGGTCGCGGTAAAGTCTACAATCCGGAAAAGGAGATCTACCAGGAACGCAGCATAGTGGTGGCGGATACGATCGGTCTGTGTGACACGGAATGGGAGGACACCAAGGTGATCAATCTGATCCGCAATCGGGTTAGCTCCAACTTGAAGCATATTGACGCTGTTTACGTGGTGTTTCGGGCGGATCGCCTGCTGAAGGAGCACGTGGCCAATATCCAGCATATCCTGAAATGGCTGGGCTACCAAACCGGTTTGAACTGTTTGCGATTCCTCTTTGTGGGGACGTATGCGGACTATATCTCCACGGAGAAGAAGGATGCCTTACGGGCTGAGGCGACGACCATGTTCCAGTTGAAAGACACCAGCCGGAAGATTGCCCCCACCGGGCACAGCATACAGTCGCTGGTGTATACCAGGTTTCCTCCGGAGGATTCACTGAACGAGATGACAAAAGAAAAGACACAGCAGTGCTGGCGGGAACTGCGCGTTCTGCTGAATCATCCGGGTGTATGCGATCGTATCCCCTTGGACCAAGGAAGTTCTTGCGCTATATTGTAAAGCGTACTAGATCATGTATGTACTTGCTGTAATGGTACGAGTAGTAAGTATCTGTAGAAGTATGGGATCACGGTCACTTAGAGTAGTTATGATTCTACATAAAAAAATTACTCGATTATGAATTCATTTAGCGGACAGTTGCCCTCTCAGAATTTTATGGATCAGTCACGTACAGAGTACAGCATGCTCGCCTGCTACACCCCTTGCTCACTTTGCTACACACCTTACTCTGTTCTTGAATGCTCTTGTGAATAAACATGTTGCGAACTTCCGCTGTTACGTTTGACCGCTTGGGATGAGCCGGTAGCATGTCAATTCAAGACACCAGTACCTGATTATTTTTACTTCAGGTACTGCGAAAGTGCACTCCTTTTTGCGGGCACTCTTTACCGAAGCGTAGCAGGACTATAATTACAGTATCATGATTTACAGGAAAGAGTGACTGGTCCCATTGCTTGCCCCGTTTTACTGTAGGTAATCTTCTGTTATTTCTTCGATTATTTCGGACGTTGCGATGTTTTTTACGTGATTCGATCCAGCACGACCACCGTCGGGTTCCAGAAAGAAAGTATTGCCCACAGCTACGCACGTGCCAACCGCTACCTGGCTCTGATCCGGACGGGACCATCGAAGTCGGGGCAGCGCGGGTGATTAAAACGAAAGAGCCTGTCCCGGATTTAGCTTGACACATTACCCTGACGTATCAAAGCCGCTCGTCACCGTCACCCGCCCCCGGAAGCTGGTGTTCAAACCGTTGACTAAAGAGGATCGCTTTAAGTTTCTCCGGCCATTGTCGGCCATCCTGAGTGAAAATGAATGTTCTCAGCCGCCAGCAGAAGCCCGGACTCCGCGAAGACGGATGCTATGAGTCGTATCTTTGCGAATTGTGGTGGCACTGAAGCAAACTTCACTGATCACCAAAAGTGGAGAAATGGAAGAGATCGTTTCGCTGCCACCGTCAACGTTGCATAATACGTTATTAAACAGGAAATGCCATAATTATGGGGATATGGTGCATAATCTGAGGGAACACAACATCAGTTACAACGTACAATATTTTGTGCCTGTAGGCCCTTATCCGAAGGCAATCCTGGCACCGGCCACTCCGTTATTATTGGATATTCTTGAAGCTTTGTTTTGGTACGGCGACACTAAGTAACTTTTTCTAAAATAACGGTTTAGAGAAAAGCAGAAACCTAAATTGCTACTGCATGCATATATACATCCGGCAATGGAGCAACTGAGTAGGTGGCTCCGAGTGGAGATTCATACATGGGTCCAGTCCGTTAAACAAAATACGTTGCAGTTGTGGTTTTCGTCCATTTGAAGATACCTTTGAAGATACCTCTTTGAATCTGACCCACGTCGTTTTCTAAAATTGTGACCTTTGTCGACGCTTCCATGGAATTACCATCCGGATCGAAATCTTGTGTTTGGGCACATAGGTAACTTTTGTGTGCCCTAAAACAAGCAAAATGATTAACAGAAACTGCAATTTATTTTCGTTTGCCGGTATTTATTCTACAATATGTATAGGCACCAATACCGACGCCAGTGAGCTACAAAAACAGCTACACAACTTTTGGCCTTTAAAAAGCGCTTTAACGGATTGCCGTACCTTAACGTGGATTGGAACTGTGAAGCTTGTTCACTACATTCCGACAAAATTTTCAAATACGGCTCATTTGGATCCCTTGGTGTTTAATCCGTTCCCGTCGCTTTTTGTGTGCCATGCAGCGTCATTTCCCTGTATATCAAATTCGGTGGCAGGCATTTTTGATGGCTTCGGGAAATTCGAGAATTAATTCTGTCGCTGCCGATATGTCCGGCACATCCTTCGAACTGGGTGGACTGAACAGTGTTTCGAGCCGGGTGCGCCTCGCGACGCGCTATCGTCCGCAGAATCCGGACTACTGACGAAATTGAGCGGATGTGGAAACGAGTGTACCTTGCGGTATAACTCAAAACTCGATTTACTTGCATCAATACCGTAACGCACACGCTACCTGTAACTTTTATCTCTAATGGTGGGCCCATTTTCCAAAACTGTCCAGGTCTGCTATCTTGCTTAGCCTTACTTCCATCAACAAAATTAATTTAAACCTCAGAGCTGATGATTACAGCAAACTCTGCACACTAATCGAACTGCGTGTACCATTACAGTTGGCACTTACTGGCAAAAATATCGCCAAAATTACAGTTGGCAGTTATTATAATTATAGTAACTGACAGTCAACTTACACTTTCAAGAGTATTCATTGCGGCCTTGAACCGGTATTCAGCCGCGTCACTATCATTTATCTTTGAATACACCATTTTATCATAAAACAATTAATATCACAAGAAGTAAAGCCAATATAACTTAATAATTAACTGCAGTAAAAGTTCACTGATTATTTCCAATAATCACTACGAGACAAGTAAAATCAATCACCCTACCGACTACCATAACCATTACTGAGATTAAGTCGTGACCTAAAGGTTGCCAGGGCGTCTGTATTCTACCCCTACTTTTAATTATTATGTATAAGTGTTTGGTCGCGCTAGCGCGCTCCCAGTGGAGTTTTAGGTATGGAAATTAGATTTTTCGCCTATTTTGTGGAAAAATTTCGTAAATTTAGGTAGAGCAAATTATAGAATTATTGGATCCCTGGACGGGGTCAGCTTTGGAAATAAATCAAAGGGTTCGAAAATTTATGAACTACAAAAAACAGCCAAATAGAATCATTATTGACCTCGAACGTTCTAGAATTGCACAAAAAGTTTTTTTAAATCCCACGCTTTTCAAAACTTTTTCAAAATCACTTTTGGCAGTCGCGCTAGCGCGCAACCAGTTGCGTTTTAGGTATGGAAATATAATCAAGAAATTTGGAATGCCTAAACATGCCGAAATTTTTTGTGAAAATACTGCACTTCCTATTATGAAAAAAGTGGAAATGCTACATTTAGGGTTCAAGTGGTCATAGTTATAGAGGTATCATTTATCAAATTTTATTTTTACCATTTTTTTCAAACGTTGAAATGCCAAACTACAGAGGTATTGGCCCCGCTGCGCGGGGCCAGCTGTGAAAATATGTTTAAATTGCTTGGAATGTTTTAAATTGTAGACATTCCAAATTTTGAAGGTATTTCCATTAACATTTCCAATTAGCTTGTAGTTGTGATGCCTTCCCGATTTATTAAAATTTATCGCGTGCTTTTGATGCTCATAAACACGCATACTAGCTTCAAGTATCTGTCTAATTATTATTAACTTTTGCGTTGCTAAGTACCTTCAACTGCTAACGCAACTAAAAACAAATTTACTGTTAATGTTGACCTTTCTAGTACTTACTTTTTAAAAGATACTACAGTGTCACAGTACTAAATTTCAAAATTTTTTTCTGAATTTTATATCGTTCTAACTTGTTTCAAAACCACTTATGGCCACCCTACATGTCTGAAACTATTTTTTAAAAATATTAATTGCTTTTTAAGTTGAATCTGGAATTAAAGTTAATTGTTTTGGAATAAAAACGTAGCGATTTATAAATCTATAGATGCTAGCTGCATCCGTAACAACCGTGAGGGCCTTTGCTATAAGAAAATTATGTTTGGGCGAACGGGTAGACCGATTTTGACGCGGTCAAGTGCGCCGGAATCGTCACAACGACGCGGATAATGTTGCGCTATTGCTAACCCGAAGCGCCTCACTGGTGGAGCAGATACTCCAAAAAACAAATTGTTGCCATGGGTTTATACATACATCTCTTGGCTTTGGAACTTGCTTTTGTATAACATAAACAAACACACGGGCACACTAACGAGACCAAGACTTGAGGCCTCGTTCCAATTCATCACTTCCTTAACGTAAAAGAGTATAGTACATTCAATAAGAATCCAAAAAATTCGTGAAAGGGTGAAAATTATATCACATTTCCCAGAGAATAATGTGGTTTTCTTAATAAATCGGTCCGCAACTAGCAGCGTCTCATTTGAATAACGAAATAATAGTGACAACTGTATAATATAAATTCAAATGAAAATTGACCAGACAGTCATTACAATCCCGAGTTTCCAACGTTACGCTACAAAAATCGCGAAAGTGATCTCGGTGTCCGCGCTTAGGCGTCTTCGATTCCTTCGGTTCTAAGGGTTTCGAAAATTTACGCTTCAAACCACGTATACGCCCGGAAATTTATTGCGGATGTGGTCCTCCGTAAACTGGTTATATGACTACTATACATCCCTTGCAGGACTTCGGTTTCTACTCTTTGCTACCTACGGATGATCTCAGCTTCTACTCAATCGATTTTTCTGATTCAAATTGCAACAGAATTTACTCAGTGTGGGCGATATCCCCAGATTCTTGACCTTACGCCAGCGAGATTGTGCTAGCCTCAGTGGTCACTCAAAAGCTTGTTACCAAAGTGCCGTAGGCTAACACGGGCTGGTCTGTTGCCCCAGATAAATTTTAACAAGAAAATGCTTTGGCTTCGCCCCTGCGTTTCTTTCGTTGCACTAGCCAAATGGACGAATCACTTCGGTCACTTTTTTGGCTCCAATAGCTTATTAAAATTTGTCGATTTTAGTAATATAAGCAGAGACTTGGCATCCGAGACAGAAACCGAAAAAACTCTAGAGGCAAAAGGTCAACAATCCATAATAGTGATAATACTCACCGCAGACAACCATCCTGAATAGTTGTCTGGCTTTGCCATTCTGACTATGCAGGAAAATAAATAATTCATGAATAGTCATGAATAGTGCATAGTCATAGTCATGATTAGAGAAATTAGATGACTAATCAATTTGCTGTACGGTTTATTACAACAAATGGGCTGTAATACCGGCTGGAACAAATTTCTTGGCTTGGCTTTGCTACAGTACGCTGCCGCTCCGCGCCATACGGTATAACGTTACTGAACAATCTTTACGGGCCAGTTTACTTGTTCTAAATTACATATGTATTATCTGTGCTGCTCACTTGGTAATCGTTGTTCACCGATTCTGGAGGTATCTCCACAAAAGTTATGTGTAAACTATGCCATCAATGGTACAGTTCACATTTTCAGTAGAAACGATTCACTTTAATTTGTGTAAGCAATTTTTCATATATGTACAATGTACGACAAAAAGAAGTTGATGGCTCGGTTTTAAAACATATTGTGCGCACTGGCTGTTTTCCCTGTTCCAAACTGATCTCCGTTTATGCGTGCCCTCGCATTGATTGTCTAGTTACGTTACGCGGGACACTGCGCACGCGGGCGGCCGGGGGTCCGCCGCGCGCTGCCATCTGGTACCCCGGGCGGTAGCCGCCCGTCCGGCTGCCGGACCAGCCTGAGTGCATCCGCGACCGATGCTTTTTTACGACGACGCAGGCCGTGATGGAGGCCGCCACCAGCAGGAGGGAGAGGACGCCGACGGAGGCCCCGATGATGGTGGTCAGGGAGGAGACCTGGCCGGCCGCGGTGCCGCCGGGGAAATCGACGCCGGAAAAGTCGGAGGATTTCAGTTCGACGTGGCGCATGTTGGTCCCGTTGCGGTACTTGGCCGGGATGATGGCCGAACGCCGGATACGACTGCCGTCGTCGGCGGTGGTGATGACGTAGAGGACTTGGAGGTACCACTGCCGACCGGGTCTCAACTACAGCACGGAAACGTTTCTTAGATTTTCTTGGGATTCTCAAATTCCTTTGTTTCTAAATTTCTTGAATATATTGCTTACATTCCGCTAAAACTTATTATTGGATAAATATGCGACAATTCAATAGCAGACTTACTTAGTTATTATATCATACAAGTATCTGCACTTGTGCATACTGTATTTATGCTTAAAACAGTTTCAATAAATAATTTTATAATCATTTTAAGTATTTATTGACAAAGTTGTCAGATTTTTAATTCTGTAAAATCGTTTCGCTTAATACTCGGATAGGGGCTACCAAGTAACTCATAAAGCGGGTCGGTTTTGAAGACAAAACCGTCGGTGCCGGAGCGCCGTTTTAGGCTCTTGAGTTTGGGATGTTTGTCGATGAAATCGGCTTGGAAGTTGGAACTCGATGCCCTGTACTTGCCGGTCAACATGGCTGGGGTCATTACGATCCTGCAAAAATCGGATTACTGATCAATTTGCTGTACGGTTTATTACAAAAAATGTGCTGTAATACCGGCTGAAACAAGAGAAAAACTTGTTGATAAAACTCATCAAGTTTATCTTACCAGTAGCAGATATCGATGCCGGAGATTGCGACTGGGCTGCATGCAGCCGTACTGCGGTTCACCCTGCAGGGTAATGCGGGGATCGTACACCGGCGTGTAGCCGCTCTTGCCGCAGCAGACATATCTGTACAGCCGTTGAATCTCCAGTTTGTAGGCGTCCTTCAGATCCTGCACCGGGCTCCACATTACGCAGCCGTGGATCGTTTCACCTGGAAGCATATCGATGGGAATAATACTAGTTTATTTTAATTGGTTTCCTTTGTGTACAACAGCAATGATTACACACTACGGTTACAAGTTCCAAAAACAACCAAAATCATTCCCTTCCCCAAATTTACTTCTGCCCGGCAAAGTGCCTAAAACTGCGGCAGCGTTTCCCTTCATTATCGCCAAACTGATGCGTTGTTTCAAGAAGGCGGTAGATCGGCTTTCTCCTGTCTTTCCCCGAATTAGGCGTCCAACGAAGCTGACTATATCTGTACCGTACTATCTGGAATAATACTGTACCGTTTAATGATCACGCGTTGGAAGATCTCCAATAACTCTAACGATTTTGGTCAAGTTATTGTACGATGTTTAAATCAGAGTCATTTTAACTGGAGGCCGTTCGCAGCGATTCCGTACAGGCCTCCTTTGTAATTTATATGTTGTACTACTGTGTAGCTGGTCAGCTGGCTTGCGCTGTTGGCGAGTTAAATTAAATACTTTAATGACAATGTACTTTATTTCCATGGCTCGATAACAGTATAAGGCTCGATATCAAGGTCTATTTACGATTAAACAAAACAACATTTTCAACAGTACCATTTACAGAAGCGGCGTTACCCCGTTGAATCGCCAAAGAAATATTCTGCTTTAAATACTCGAGGCTCCGGATTTCACCGGTTTGTAGCGAAATACTTTAATGATTTGGCAAAAGCATAATGATTTGTCAAAACAATAGACAAAATCTGAATTTTAATACGTATTATTAGATTTAGGCATTGTAGAAAATTATACATAGCTTAGGAAAAACTGTATCGTCACAGAAATGCTTCATCTATCCTTGGGACAATGGACGGAGTGGAAAAATTAAATGAAGAAAATGTAATGAATGTGATTTCGTTGTTCATTTTACTATTATGCATGCGGTTTCTTTTAAGAGGCAGATGTTGAAACCTAAATTACACAGCAGCCGTTTTACTACGAAAGCTGGTCAACAATGCAATACTGTACTCTACTCCTAATGAACCAACAAAAACAATTACGGTAAAATAATTTTATTATTATCCAACTTTTATTGCTGCAGAATAATTTATTCTTAACATTTTGAACTAAAACATTGATTCCATTTTTTTTCTAAATCAAAAATGTTAAAAAAAAATGTGCGCGCAAATACTTCCTGTGACAAATTTTGTAATAATCCTGTAATTTCAGAAATAGATTTTGCGAAAGGTTCTCACCTTAGCCGAAGGCTTCATCGGGAATATGCGTCGGTGTCGTCTCCACGACGGCACTGGCATCCGCCTGGAACATCTGATCCCCGTGCGCCAACTGGAAATCCGTGTTGAGCGAGTAAACCAGCGGAGGCGGGCGGTTGCCCTGGTTGAACTGAATTGGGAGGATAAACTGCTTGGGACTCCTCGGCTCACAATTATGGTGATCCACCGAGAACTCCGGCCGGGTGGCCATACACGGGATCATCTCCAGCGTGTAATCCCCGGTGTAATCCCGCAACGAAAGGTCACTCGTCGCCTGCCACGTCTGCATGGGATAATCATACGTCTCCTGCTGCCATTCCAACATTAAATTGAACTTCACCGGGAGATTGCTCGGCGGGATCAAGTAAGACTGCTGCCCCGGGAGGCGGGGATGCGACAGGACGAAGGTCCCGCGGAACTTGGTCTGCGTCTTGATGGTGATGCACAGGTTCCCGGCGTCGGTTAAACGTACGCGCACCACGTTGATCTTGGCGTCGACGTTGTCGTTGGTGGTGCGCACACGGTCGTTGCTCAGCGCCGTGTCGTAGTTAAAGCTGATCTCTAACGTGGTGCGGTGGTCGATGGAGCCCCAGTTGTTCGGGGGCACGGCGTAGATGTAGGAGACGTAGAGCGGTACGGTAACGGTGACGGCGCGCTGGCCGAACTGGTTGCTGCGGGCGTTGGCGTTGGTGTTGACGGTGCCGCCGCAGCGGTCCACCAGGGTCGTCATGTCGTAGTTGGCGTCGAATTTCCATGTGCAGGTCTCCATGTTGAGATGGGTGTACAACTGCACCTGTTGAAAGTATAACTGTGATTTGCCAGTAGATAATGGCCGGCTTTATCCGTTAATATTGTACCATTCGATTAGACTTGGCGCAAAATAAGCGCCAACTAACGACTGTCACATCCTTATAAGTACAGTGTCGGCTTACGCACCCTATTGTTCAATAACGCTCAGAACATTTGTTATACTTCGCCTATGCCACTTCAATGCTTTTATGATATGATTAAAATGTACTTTCTTTAAAGGCTCGCCATTAGCTGCTCATTGCCATCAAAACTCCCTGCCATCCCGGTGGCTATGTAGCCACCTTTATAGTAACATACCGTCATGTTCCCGCGGATCGTGGAGTCCAGCATGCCGGCCTGCGTGGGGAACACCGCGTTCCCGCCACTCCCATCCAGGAAGCCCTTAATCTTCCCGTCCTGATTGGGAACAAAGTTGGAACACACATGCTGCTGCCGGTACCCTTGGTCCGTCAACAACAGCTTTGGGTTGTGGATGTGGAAGGCGGAGATGACCGGGAGGATGCCATCCCGATGCGGGATGGTCACTGTGATATGGACGGTGTTGGCGTAGTGCGCACTGCCCGGCTCGTTGTACTGGATGTCGGTGGACAGGGAGCGCTGGTGACCTTTCGTTTCCGGGGTGGGGGTTGGCGCAGGCGCCCTCGCGGCTGATGGTCACCTCCGAGCTGTAGGCCATCTGGCCGCCGCCCTGGTCGACGGCGCAGCGCAGGATGCAGTTGGGCGCGAAGTAGATGGAGTCGAGGACGGGCGTCTGGGCCGAGGTGAAGGGCGTGGTGTCGGCGATGGTGGAGTAGATGCGGTTGCCGTCGCGGTCCGTGTCGGTGGCCATCTCCCAGCGGTAGGACACGCGGTCCTGGCAGGTGGGCGTCACCTGCGGGCGCGGGTGGCGGGGATCACAGGGCTAAAGCGGCCGTAAATTAGTGCTTATATTTTTAACCATTTTAAGTATTGCCGGCTCTAGCGCGGCTTATCTTTTCTAACTCGGCACTTTCCGGATTAAAATTAAGTTAATAATGAATTGATTTGTATTATATTAATGTTTAAGTCTGACGTTTAGGAATACTAGTCGTTAGGCTTTTCAGTTACATATAAGCGATTATTTAACCTTATAAATTTCATGGAAAAAATCCATACGGACTAACGTACATTATTAACAAATTAAATACTAAAACGTATTTCTTCGTTTCTGATATACAGATGACTTACATCGGAAATAATGAAAATATTAGATGTCATTAATTTGTGATACATATACAGGTAAGGACCTATGAATGTTTTAAAAAAAAACATAAAAGTAATTCTTATTGGTTTTTCAAAGGCAACGCTTTGGCTAATTTATTGGTTGAAAAAGGCTGGTAAAGATTTTTTACCGTTAGACACATGAGCGGATATCCTGGCGGCGGCGGTTGGTTCATGCCGATCTGGACGTTTTCGTAGTAGGTCAAGGAAATGACGATGGGCGGGGACGGAAGAATGGGCATGGGTTCGGGCGGCCGGTCCGTAATGCAGACGGTGGCGATGGACGGCTGCGAAATCTCCGCGTTCACCGGCTGGTCCGGGCCCAAATGCACTGTGAACGTCTCTGTCACCTCGCGCTCATTGTCGTACAGGATCTCCACGGCGAAGCACTTCGTCGTCTCACCTGCACAAAGAGATGAGGAACTCAAAAATCATCGCTTTAAAATTTTAAAAATGTAATGGCTATATCTTTTTTCATACATGTTTTCGTAATTTTCGTTACTAGACACTGGAATTATGTATGAGGTTAACGGAAATTAACCTGCTATTGGGGATAACACCGTACCTGGTCGGAATACGAGCATGGTGCTCTTGGAGTGATAGTCGCGTCCGGCGATAGCCGTGCCGTCGCGCGTGGTCACCCGCACTTCCGACCGCCGGCTCGCGTCACCGCTGCGCAGAACCGTCAGCAGCACGGTGGACATACTGCCGGCACGCTGCGGCTCTTCCACTTCGTAGTTGGTCTGCTCGAAATACACCTTCGGACCTGCAAAAACCTTGACCTCAAAACCGTGCCGGTTTTCACGCCTGCTCACACTTATTCCCGTCGTTGCCATCAGATCCATCTAAACTTAGCGTACGATTTATTTAGTTACACAAAAACAGTCAGCTCTTCTCATCGAAAGGTCACAATTGAAAAAGAATATTTTATTTTCAAAAAAAAAAATTTTAAGGTCCATAAGTTTCCGTATGAATATGAAATCGGTAGCATCAACGTGAGATATGATTCACTTGTTAGTCTATATCGTAACTGCGAATATATTTTCTTGGAATTTGACGATGCTTACAGTCTTCGTGATTGGTCAGCGTAACGACCACTTTATCCCGCGGGCCGATGCGGGAATGCTGCGGACTGCCGAGGACTACGTAGAACTGTTCGTCCGCTTCGTACATGTTGTCCTCAATGATGGTACAGATTTGCCGCTACACAAACATTCATTTTATTTACTGCACAGTCTGCGCAATACTCGTACTGTACTGCACTCGTAGAATGCATATTTTTTATAAAACCACTGTACATGTGCCTGTATTATACACCGTTGTACATGGCGATGTAAAAATTAATCTTCGGAAATTCAACATGCTTCTAACGGTAAGCTGCGTACTATGCGCAAGAGACAAGGGCCGTGGCATCTTTAGCGATTCTTTCTGATAATATTAGGCAAAATGCCAAACAGATGCCTATTATTCTAACGTAAAGCAGAATAGGTATATTTACGAAACGTTCCTACAAAATACTTTTCTGTGCACTTATTAGTTATTACTTACGACGAAGACGATTAAAGCCTACAAGTACTCGTACTTTGTGAAACCAACGAATAAAGAACGATCGACTAACATTAAACAAATATATCTTGGGAAAATCGAAAACACACATTTTGACTAGCGCGTAAAAATATCAGCAAAAGCATAATTATTTCACGGTATACTGTTTTACTGATAGCCGCACAAACGATTTTTAAAGCTATCAAGATACGTACTATTATACTGTAATATAGTATACAAAATGTACAAACTTTATGCAGTCCATCGTGGATTGTGCAGTAGTTTGTGGTGATCTTTCATGACCTTAGCTCTAACCTTTTAGGCAATCTGATGCAAACGCACGCAAACATGTTCTTCTTTATCGCCAGGCAGTAAAGGCGGGGACGGATTCCCCCTTTCCTGCCTGTCGCGATGTTGCATAGCATGTAGAGGCCAGTAGGGCAGCGGTGGGGCACCAAGTGGTATTCCGTTCTGCATCACTGGATTTCCCCAAACGGGGCTATTCCTGGCAGGAAATACCAGCGCCGAATTATTGACATGGGACTTCCACTGCAGTCTGCAGATATGCAGAGCAAGCAAGGCAGCAAAAATGTTGAGCCATAAGGCATCGCTTGTCGTCTTTTTCGGAAGACTACCTTTGGAAACGGATTTCGGCTAAGGCTGCTTAATGCCATAATTTAGGCTGAGAAATACTTCTCCAGAGATACTCTTTCCAAAAAGACGAGTTATGTTCGGGCTTGATCGTGGACGGTGCCGAAGCGTTCGAAAGACCGAAATCCGATTGCAGTATTACTGACGAAAATACATCGTACGCAATTCAACAGGAAACTGCCATTAAATATTATGATGGAGTATCATTACAAACGTTCAAAGTCAGGTGGGAGAGCTTATTTCTGCCGCAAAATCTACGAGTGGGCGATGGCTTTCGTAATATCTGTTTAAATGATGGACTGGCAATTGCAGAGCGACTCATTTTTATCAGCTGCCAAAACGAGCTCTCCCGAAAATTTGACACGAGTAGAGCCCATCGGCCACAGAGTGCGAGTAAAGCGAATTCCAGGAAACACATTTTCACTTCCTTCTGCCATTTTAATAGCAGCAGTGTTAACATTCCCACATTGAATTTTCTCTGAACAACAGCATTGTTAGTAACGTTGAAACAGTGTCCGGATCACAGCGACGTTGCCTGTTGAAATGTCGAAAATGGAAAAAACTGATCATGCAACTATCAGGATTAAGGGTATGGTGCGCATTGATTTACACTTCCTACTTGGACTCGTAAATCACAAGTCGGTGCATACCAAACTGCCAGTCGCAGTTACAATTTATTGCACGGCATCCACACCATAATACTTGCTACGGTATACGGATTACGGATGCTCTTCCTGGGCGGGCTTCCTCATATTTCACTCACACCTGTTAATGTACGTATGGACAAGATGTGAGCCGAACCAGTGCCGCTCCACATTAGCACAGAATAAATTATGATTCCTTGTTTAGCTAAAAAAGGGACGTTCATGCATTCTGTGCTAATGTGGAACGGCATTGGTTAAGTACTCACATAAATTTACGTTCGAAATAAAATTATCTAACCGAGTAGTACCTACCTAAATAAGCCGCAGTTACGCACTTTGCTTCACTGATAAAAATGAAAACAAGAATAATGAATAGTTCAATTAAATGAGAAGAAAGTCGTTGCCCAGGTATACATCAATGACCAGAAACACTACTCTAATTTGCATCGAGCGCGAAGCGCGAGATGCTGCAGTTAAGCCTTCGTCAAGAGCATAAATTTGTCTGACGCCACGAAGATCGTCACGCAACACTTTTCCAATTCCACAAATCCAATACCATTACCCAGTAGTATTAGCTATCGCGCTCGTGCAATGATGTGGTTAGCAACCACCGTCACCGTACGGGTAGTAATCATTAAATGGTAGAAAATGTGAGTAAGCAGTGACAACTTATAATGTGGTATGCATAGTAAGTACTTTATGCCGGGTTTATTTAGTAAGTGGGTAGCAATAAAATTTAAAAGAACTACTTTTATTTAGCAGCCTGTACATAACCGCGAAAATTCTTGAAGTGCGACAACACATCATCATGACCATATACATAGGTGGCAATTCACTATTACGGCCTTCACTTCCTTTTCGACAGTATAGTTTTTATTGTTTAGCAGCGGCACGTCAACGTCGCGGTAATTTCATTGTAGGCTCATAGCAAAAGATTGAGTATTTAACGTTAGAAGTTTTATTTTATTTTTTTAAAATACGATTATGCTTAAACCAAATGACACGCTTCGGCTATCGTTAATTGAGTTGATTGAATTCCGTATTTGCTAATTCGGTTTATGTGCGGATTCGCATTCTCGCAAACGTTATGTACGATTCGAAGAGTCACTTCCAGAAAGCCGTACGAGTGCATGTACTTCTACTTTATTATGGATAATATAAAATTATTTTATATGCAAAATTTTACTACAATATCATTGGCAGACAAAGCGGCACAAAGTTGAATTTGTTTGTGAATTTTGTTTTGTTTAATTTTGTTCTTGCCAATGCGTGATCTTGTTTGCTTTATTTATGTACATATACTACGACCAGGACAAGTTTCTGCACTAGGTGGTATAGAGTACATTGTCGCTCCTGCATTGGTCGCGGTGCAAATGTACAAAAATCAGATTGTGCTCGCGTATAAATACTTTCACTGGGACCATTTATAATTACGAGTACAAAGGACAAAGACACACTGTAGTATACAGAGGGACCGAACTTGCTAGAAAAACAGACGTAACCGAGTACCATGCAGCATTCTACACGGATAATGTTTTAACATGAGTATACTCCACGGGTTCCCAGCAATCCACCCAGCAGCATAACCAGGGATACAGGAGAAATGACGCTACTAAAAACAGACAGGTGCCGCACCAGAAACCTCCACTCGAAGTCCGCACGGCCAGTTTGTGCACATAGCCCTCAATCTCGAAGATGTCCTGGATAGTGTACTCCGTATCGCGATCCTTGTTGGCATTGATGAATGCCTGCTTCTGAGCATTATAGGCTTCCTTGGTCGCCGCATCCGCTAAAACAAAGTTCTTCTGGAAACGGATATGGCAGATGCCGCTAAGTTGGTCGGTTTGGTCGGGTGTTTCGTCCGACCGGGACGAAAACTGGAATTCCTGGGTGCCACTCCAGGTCGAGATGGCATCGTCCCGGGTTTCGGTTCGCGGACCGGCTTCCGGGTCGTTGATAACCCGAGTTTCGATATCGCGATGGAAGCATGTTATGTGCCACGTAAGTTTTGGCGTGCCTAAATTAAAGCAATGTGAGATACATTAGGTGAGGTTTGAGAAAGCGGAATTCGCAGCAACGCCACCGGTTATACATACTGTCACAAGCTGTGCAACACTCTCACTCTGTCCGAGGGGAAGATTGGCTACTTCCTAGTCGGAGGAGCTGCCAGTGCCGCTCTACTAGGGGGGAAGAATGGCTACTTCCTAGCCTAGGAAGCTTACGACCAGCAAAACTACTTGCTGCTACTACACGAAACGAAAGAGCCGCACTTTCCAGATCAAATTTATTAACAAAAGCAAAAGATCAGAAAATGCAACTAACTCCATAACAGAGAATGCCCGGCTTTTATAGGCCGTGAATAATAGCGAGTGATTACGTAACAGCTCCGGCGGCTACGCCGGCCAATAGGAAAACATGCAGGGAATAAATGTGCTACATAATAACTCCCGTAAGGAGTGAACCTGACACATCCCCTCGCTGCGGGAAGGCTGGA